AAATATATTTGGACTAGAGGAAACAGCCTATATTTGGCAGTAAAATATAAGGTAAATCACTGACACAATAATAATATAATATACCTGCAATTATTTGTTAATTCAAAGTTTTCCATGATTATGTACCTTTATGACAATGCTTTTTGCAAGTAACTGCTAATATCTTCACATAAATCACATTATTTTTTAGGTAGTAAACAAATGGTATTTAATATACCCATATATTCAACTAAATGAACAAAGAAACACATTCAAGTGGCGATGTGGCTGAGTAGTTACTACGTTGGACTAGAATTTAAGGATTGCTGACAGGGGCAAGCCATTTTTTCAATTAGCAAGAAATTTTACAATCATAGATTAATACTGGTTGGTTCCAGGAACGAATTTTAGAGTGTTTTAAAGCTTCTGTAAGCTAGCTGGGATAGCTTCCTCACATGAAAAAATCCAAAGTTCCTGTCAAGATTCAAACCCAAAGCGGTGTGGGGCAAATGGTAAGAACAGTCTTCGAAATTAGCGCCAGTCCGAGGCCCGAGGCCACTAAATTTAGCATCGGTCCGGTGATTATTGCAAGGTTGGTGGTCCGACGGACCATCATGAAAAATTATTATAAGAAAAATTCATCAAAATAATGAAGCAGGGTTCTTTAAAAGATCGATCTTTTCCCCTTTTTTGCAAATGAAACCCACCAAATCTGTCCTAAATGCTCAAAACACAGCAAGAGATGTCTAAATTGTATTGAGTAATGGAGGCCACCATTTTTTTTTCTTGGATATTTTCCGTACGGCACTGTCCAGTTACGGAAATTAAACCATTGTTTATTATGGTCATTATTTAGCTATGATTTTGTGATTATTGAGTTACGTAAATATTTTGTGTGAAAGTGATTTGTTTGAAGCAAATTGCATTGTTCATGTTCAATTCTAGTCAATTTTGCCTAAACAAAGGCCTTTGGTCCTTAAAGATTTTTCAAAGCTGTCAACATATGGCCCAGAATACAAGACGTATTATGCTTCTTTCAAAATTATCAAGGGAAGCATGATAAAGTGTTTTCCTGTTCCCATCAATTTATTACCTATCTATGTATTTGGTCCGGCTAAAAATCACCAGGTCCAGTAAGATTTGATATTTTACTGGCCTGAATGTCCTGTGCCTTTTAAAGTTTTTCGTGAAGACTGTAAGAATATATATCTGGTAAAAAAGTAATCCCTTGGAAGCATTAAAAACAGCAAAATTACATGAAAATTGCACACTCAGTTTGATTGAGTCTGTACATGAGGGATTATGAAAAAGTGCAACATCCCTCACGTCCCCTAGCATCAGCTTGAGTGGTACTTAATTCTCAACACTTAAACATGCTGAAGTCAACAACATTAACCAATAGCCACAGACACCCCTTCTGGAAGACATGTACTATACCAATTGCTTGAACACAAATGACCTTTCAGTCTTAAACTATGAACTTTCAAAGAGATTTTTGCAGGTTCAAATAAAGATATTTCCTCTAGTATTAGCATCATTTATGTAATTATTCCTATGTTAGAGACATGAAAAACAATAGTCCTAGATATAGCAAAGATAGTATTGATTTATGAATGTTTGAACATTGACATTAAGAGATTCCTTAAATTTTCCATAATATAACAAATTCTTGTACTTCAAATAGTCACAATGATCTTACATGTATTAACCATATCTTTAAAACTTGAAAATAATTTGATAAACATAATAATGAGATATGATTTATTAATTACCTTGGACAGCACAAAGTTGCCCAGCCATCTTACACAGTCCACATAGTTTCTATGGATATCTCTTGTTGAAAAGTCAGGGAAGTTCTGGTTATGTGTGGGAAATGGTCTGAAATATTAACAACATTGCTAATACTGAATGCTTAAAATTGCAAGAAAATTTAAATTGCATCAAGAGTACATTTTTAGAAGATAATTACTAATTTTCAATTAATAATTTTTTATTCAATTTCATGTGCATTCCAATTACATATGATGATGATGATGTGAAAATATGTGCAACAAACCTTTACCCTACCGAATCTTGACCAATTTATATTTCTGAAACATTACAACTAAAGTTCAAATTTTTTTCATGTTAGGGTTTTTAGTCACTCCAACACTGTAAAGATCAAATGGTGACTTTTTACATTTACTGGTACAGGAAGACCTGAGACCTGAGACCATGCCCCATCCCTGAGCTTTACTTCAATAACAAATGGGTAAGAACAACCTTCTGAAAACCGGTTTGATATTTTCTTTCATTGAAAGAATTCTTTGTCACTGGTAGAACTCCAATTGAAAGCAATGCTAGTAATGACTTTTAAGTAAAATCACTGTTTAAAATAAGCATTCTAATATAGCTAGCAGGAAAATGCAGTACTTATTGCACTTTACAATTTGTTTGGATAACAATGAAAATTTCTCTGAACTGTTTACAACTTTTCAACACTTACACATTCATTTGTTTAGCATTATATGTGTAGGAAGCTTTCATGGCATCAAGTATAACTTCTGTGTCTGTTTTCCACATCTTGAGTGAATGGTCCATACCACATGATATAAGTTTTGTACCATGTATGTTGAAATCCTGAAATATATATATTTGCTAATGCATTTACTGACAGCATGAATATAGGGAGCACACTGGTCCAGAAGTAACATTGTCTGGCAACAATACTAGCAGGTTGTGAGCTTGGTCCTATTACTTCTAAATAAAATGACCTTTTGATTTTGTACTTTACATTAAAGTATGTTAAAGAAGCAGTTATAATATTCTTTTTTTAAATGGAAAATCTTTGTACTATTTGCATAATCCTAAGAAAAAAAATACTGTATTGAGAAGGCAACTTCAATGTGAGTAGATTAAATTGTCCTGTTAATGCATGGCAAATAAATGTAAAGCCAGTTTAAATCTTTTTACAGATTAATTGACAGGTTAGCTGTGGAGCAATAAATCTAATCGGTTTACTAACATACTAAAGGCTTCAGACTTGTCACTGGGGATTGTCACTTGTTTGAGTCGCAGCCATGGTTTAGACCTGATAGTGGTGTATTGATTCTCTCATGAGAATTCACACAAAAGTGTGCCAGTTTTTATCAATTTCATTCACAAATTTTAGAAATATTACAAAACTGGTTGTAATGAAATTGTTTTAACTGCTGATCATTTTTTGAAATAAAAGTAAACTTTGTCTAATATGACAAATTATTAAAAGCTGGGTATATTAAACTTTTAAGCTGCATGAGTACTGTGTTTCATTTATCTTATCTATGGATGCAGGAATTTGTCAATGACAGGTTAACAAAATAAACCATTTTGAGAGAAGAATGGTGAAAATGAACATTAAATTGTAGAGTATAAAACTTACAGCACTAAGAACTTCATCTCTGTGGCCATCCACTCCACCAAATATTATAACACAAGTTGACATCTTAACATTCCATAGTCGCATTGTGTTGTCTAAAAATTAGCATTAACATTTCTCATCATAAACATATATGTAAATAATAACTGTAACTTTAACACTATGCAAAAGCATATCAGTACAGCATTCCTCGAATCTCTCCAATAAGCAGTTTGACAGTCTTTACCATTATACTCCTTCATGAACATATCCCACATGAACTGAAGAAATTTTCATATTGAAATTTTTTAAATTAACAATGTGAATATTTCAAAATTCCAATCTAAATAAGTTCATAAAATTATTATAATAAAGTTAATAGTATCTTATTAACTTAAAATGATGACTGTACCACCTTGTTAAAAATAACATTAAGTTACTGTTAGTAAAGTTTTTCTGTATCTATGTTTTCTGTTATTAGTAATGACAATGTTTGGTGAGAATATACAGAAGAAAGACTACCTCTGGATACAGATAATAACATATTGTGATCATTTGGATGAACTTTCAACTCATTCACTGCAGCTCCATGACCAATGAAATGCTAAAAATACAGACATTTATAAATACCATTAGTTTTCTTATTCAAATCACAATACAAAACCTGACAAAAAATCTAAACTCAGACCCTTGTAGTCTATAGACCTTGAATCACTAAAGTTGAAACCTCAAATAAATGTTGACCCAGTAAATATTTTGAAGGGAAAACCCTGACTTTATTTTACTAAATCGTGTACTAGGGTATATAAATCAAACTAAAAGTTATAAACACTATGAACATATATAAATGTAGCAAGCTAGAGTGTATTAATAAAACTCTTTACCTTAATACATTGTTGTGCAATAGGACTGATAACTCTAACAATTCCTCTTAAGCCTGCCACACAAATCAAAGGTTGCTGAGTTTCATCATCATAAGTCCATGCACCACAGTAATAATTCTCATCTTGCTTGAATTCAGAGTCAAGGTTTTTTGCTTCTGTTTTAAATTTTATTAATAACACCTACAGTTACCATCCATCACATTTTAGGTTGCATTTAAAAGGTTGATATATTCATCAATTTCACTAGAACTATAACAACAATTCCTATCCACTCATTCTCTGCACAAAATTTTGTACATATAAGATAAATATGTACTGGTTGGGGACCACCAAAACCGGACAACCACCAAACCCGGACGGCCCCAAAAATGCTTAATTTAGAATTTTCTTTGTTCAGTGGTGGTCAGTCATTTTTATATCAACAATAAATGCATGTTTCTTCTAAAATTAAGTAAATAAATTTATTTCAACCTCCGTAAATGGTAATATTTTAATGTCTATTTCAAGAATGTTGACGTTGAAATTTGGGGGCCAAGAAAGCAATGCCTGACCTCATATACCAGCTATAATCATTTGCAGAGTAAACAATAGAATATCCAAAACTTCAGCATTTGTTGCTGAAATATTGTATATCATGTTAAAAGTCAAAAATCAAAGCACCCAAGCTTTTATCTGAATTAAATCACGTCATGTACATATCTGTCCGGACACATGGTACTGTAGTGTTGACAATTTAGGTAATTTTGATACCCTCCTTGTCGAGCCTCAGATATAAGAGTCAATACATTCAGAAATAAACAAACTAGTTTGTTAGTTAGGAGAAGAACCTAGCTGAACTGTGTCAATTTTTTTTATCTCTATGTTAAAAATTATGAAATTTGTACGGAAAAATGTTCAAAAAGTGTCCGGTTGATGGTCCCCGACCAGTATGGTCAGGGATTTCAACATATATGATCTAAAACTAAGCAAAGATACCTCAGCTAATATTTTCATTTCACAAAATAGTCAGCTGACAGAATGCATTAGGTAATTGATAATCATATTATACGGTATTTCACAATGAAAAAACCTTAACATGTAGTTGTGAGATTTATTAAAATAATCTGTAAAATAATTTAATATTTTTTATTTAATTGATCAATTATCATAAAAAATTGTAATTGTGTGAGATAGTATTGGTAAGGATACAGAAGGATCTGCATATGCCTGAAGTAGTTTGATATGTCCCTCTGGCTTACTTTCATACAATGTCACCTACAATAAACATGTATTAATTAATATATCAATGAGTAACAGAAGTGGGCACAATGACACAAAATAAGATGTTACACCTAATGTGTTTTGAACTACTAAAGGGCTGATCTTTAATAAAATATTACTTAAAATAACTACAAAAAAAACTTGAAATAATTTTAACTAATGATAATGTTTTCAATCTCTATTGTAACATGTATTACTTGCAATTTCATTTGCCTCAACATGACAGAAAATTACATTTACTTACTCTGTTATGTCCTACTGTAATAAAAAGAAGAGGATCTTTTTCTCCATGAAATGTGTTGAACAATACTCCAAATATTGGCTTTTTGTGATCCTCCTGAATGAAATAATCTTATTGTCATGTAAATTTTTCATTATTTTTAATATACCATTACTAGCTTCAACATACATTTTGTAATTAAATCAAATGAAAAAAAAAAAAATGTCAACAAACATTAAGATGTATTTTTATTTAGATTATTTATTAATTTCTATAAAAGTTGCCACTTTAACCAATTTAAAGCTATTTTAATTATATGTTTAAAAATGGATAAATTAATACCTTAAGCCAGTTTGAACATTTAAATTTAAGTTTTTGTTTTCCTTTCTTATTCTTTCCCGTTTGTTTAGAACCTGGTAAATTTGATGAATCAGACTGAGTGTCATCTTGTAGTGTGCTCACTGTACTAGAAACGTCGTCCTGAATAAAGAGTTCAAAGTAATCATTAGTAAAACGATATCACTATGGATCAATGTGTGTTAAATAATTTGGACCTAATTAGTTCGAGTACGAATCCATAAAAAATCATTTTCTAAGTTTTATAGTGTTTATAAAATACAAATAATATTATGGAGTATATCATCAGGAAGCTTAATCATTTGTTAGTACCGTATCATCTCCTGATCCTTCATTTTGCTGTAAAATAGACAGGCGTGGACGTTTGTTTATAACCGGCATTGTTTGAGAGTTTTCGCCTATGTCCGACATTTTGAACAGTATATTAGTCACGTGATTTGCATGTGCTTTCTAATATTTCCCGCCAAACGTTGCCAGCGGTGATCCGACACGCTACGCTTGCGCAGAAAGAAAACAATCCAATATGTCTGACACCTGTCAAAACAACAATTGTCAATAATCCGGTAATTGGGACAGGTGATTAAAATTTTATCCTTACATCTTTATTGAATTACATATTGTTGTTTTATTGGTTATTGAGAGTCTCATGTTGCAAATTATAGAGGGAGCAGTTCTTAAATTTAACTGCCTTGCACAAAAACTGATGAAATTGAAAAAAAAACTTGCCATTCATGAATGATTGAGCAGTGTTGGGGATTTTGTATTAGGAGCTTATGTTTTAGAATTATAAGTTGCACTTAAAGGCTGACCATTGTCTTTATATGCAATATTGATTATGAATAATACTGATTAATATTTCCCTTATAAACAAGTTGCAGCTTGATTCATTTATTATATATACATGTCTAGGTTATTTAAATGTCTAACTTTCTAAGTCACATATCATAGACATGTATGGTTTTTTATTATGCAGGACAAATTTTGCACATGAGACAAATCGTAATTACGGAATCAAAGGACTCAAACATTACAATGAAGTAAAGTTTCAGGCTACATACTGCACTAGTCCTATAAATTTGAGATATGGCCAAAAATAAAATTGGTTTCCCCTTCCCAACCCATTAATATTAGGGTTGGGTAGGTAGGTAGGAAAATTATTTTTATGCCCCCGCCATGTAATGGCCGGGGCATATATATAGTGTTACACTGTTCCGTCATTCCTTCCTTTCGTCATTCTGTAATTCCGTCATCATCAGTTTCCGTTCATTATCTAAGTAACGGTTGCACACATTCAACTCAAACTTGACATATGGATATGTCTTGTGAAAATACAGGTCAAGTTCGAATTTGGTCATGGTTCGATGATTTTTGGCAGAGTTATGCCCCTTTTACTTTGAAAATAATATGAAATTTTCAGTTTCTGTTCATTTTCTCCCCAACTGTAAAACACATTCAACTCAAACTTGACATATGGATATGTCATCAGAAAATACAGGTAAAGTTCGAATTTGGTCATGGTTTGATGATTTCATTTCGTGATTTATACTCACCTGATAGTACATTACATTAGGATTTATCTCCGCATATTACGTTCAATCCGCCTAATAAAAACCAAGCGTCTAACTACACTGATCATCACATGATCATTAGACGCTCTGTAGAAGAACTACAGAACCCCAGTTTATTCTCGGCGTTCAAAACGTTCACATCGTGTTATGAAACTATTTTCTTGTGTGATTATAGGACTTTTATTTTGGACTTTTATTGTAAGTTTGTTTTTTGTTAATTCTATCATGAATAGTGAAGCTATTTCTTCTGATTTGGTGGAAGAAAATTTATCGGAAAGTTCAGTTTCTAGAACTTCCGGTTTGTCATCTTCGGCAAAGAAACGCACTCCACGTGCGAGTAAGAAAGATTTAGATTCTTTACGTAAAGATGTTACCGATTTTAAAGGTGAAGTTTCTTCTTTACATGCTAAATTTGATCAGCTCATGGGTTTTATGACCAAGAATAATTCGGAAACTGTCTTGCAGAGACCGAGTACTTCTGACACTCAGGAAAACTTCACTTCTGGTGAGAGTAGACCTGTGCCATTGAGGGATAACCGCCCCAAGGGGGTGTAGCCCCTTTTGTTATTTTCTTACAAATTTTAAATTGAAAGGATTAAAATTTTCCTGAGGATATTTTCTCTCTTTGAAACCCGGGAAAAAGGGAGCGTTCTAAATTAGGCTTTACTTAGCCGGGGCGCCCGGTTTTTTGCTTGTTGAATTGTTGCGTTAAAGGGTTCCACACCCAAATGGTTTATAAATCAGTTCAAGGGTAAAGAAACTTTTTAGCAAAAATTTTTTGGGTTGAGATGAAATTCTAAACCGAAAAAGATATTCGGGGTTTGCTTTTTTATGAATTCAGTTACATTATTTAAGGGCAGGGCGCAGCTCGCCCTTCTAGATTTCAGTTATAAAGCTTTTTAAAATAAAATTTTCCGAAATTGACTCTGCAGAAATTTGTTGCAATTTAAATCTTGCCCTTATTTAGAATCACTGTGATGAAAAAAATGTAGTAAAGCAGCTTAAAAAGTTTTAAATTTCCTTTTTATTAAAAACCTCTCAAAGTTTGAGAGATAGCATTTAAATTCTGTGCAGCACGTATGGGCTTTATTATTAAATTTATAAAATACAAAAAGGCGGGGGGAAATTTTTTTTCGTTTAAAGGGAAAATTCCAAAATGTAAAAAATTACGTGTGTTAGAGTATTTTTGCGTTCTAAAAAAGTTTTGGGATAAAATTTTTCTTGGGGTGTTTTTCACCTTTAAGTAAAAAGAAAGGAAGTTTTCTGCCCCGGCTTAAATGATTTAGAGCATTGGGATCTTTAGGGGAATTCCCTTTGCCCCAACAGGATGTTTGGGAGGGTAGGGAAAAAAAGTTAAAAGTGGGAAAAGAGTTTGAATTCCCCAATTGTCAGATCTTTTACCAGAGGTAGGGCGCAAGAGGAAGTTTCCAGATTCTACCTCTTCAAATCAGTGGAAGAGACCACGGTTGCCTAATCAGACTTTTGAAAGTCGTCCTGCCAGGAGTCAATTTCCGAGCTACAGGACAGCCACAGAGGCCAAATAGGTAGTAATTTTACCATACCTAAGGTGGTAAAATCACAGCCTAAAACATCTAATGTAAGTAGTACTTTTTGTAACAAATCAACATGACTTGTTAATGATTCATCCACAGATACCTGTTGGGGGCAGGCTAAAACAGTTTTATCCAAAATGGTTAGAAATAACAGAAGACCAATGGGTTCTAGATATAATAAAGGAAGGTTACAAGTTAGAATTTGTAGAAATTCCAAAGTTCAATGGGGTATTGGAAACAAGAGTCCCCCAAAACAATTAGATATTATACTGCAGGAGGTAGATACATTAATAAAAAAAACATGCTAATAGAAGAAATACCTCCAGACCAGGTCAAACAAGGTTTTTACAGTACGCTTTTTCTTGTTCCAAAGAAAACTGGAGATCTAAGGCCAGTTATAAATTTAAAGCCCTAAACAGGTATCTGAAACATCAACATTTCAAAATGGAGTCTTTAAAATCTGTTCTAAATTTGGTTCAGAAAGGAGATTATGCAATTTCGATAGATTTGAGCGACGCATACATGCACATCCCTATATATTACCCTCACAGGAAATACCTAAGTTTTTCTGTTCAGGGCAAGGCATATCGATTTCGAGCACTACCATTTGGCCCCAAGTCTGCTCCTCGAACTTTCACCAAGCTGGTTACAGTAATAGCAGCTTATGTAAGACAACAGTGGGGGTTTCGTCTAGCAGTCTATTTGGACGATTGGCTCGGGCTAAATGCAGTCAAAATACAGCTTGTTCAAAATCTATCGAGATTGCTGGATCTTCTTATGCAACTAGGCTTTATAATAAATGTCAAAAAATCTCAACTGTGTCCAGCTCAGAAAATTACTTACATAGGGGGCTGTTTCAATTTAGAAAAGGGAAACAGTAACACGCGACACCAGACAGACATCACAAAATTGTGCAGTTTGTTCTGGCAATTCAAAAACAACAGATGGTCACAGCCAAAATTTTGTTACAAATTCTGGGTTTGATGGCATCATGTATAGAACTGGTTCCGAATGCAAGGTTATTTATGCGTCCAGTGCAATTACATCTACTTCATTATTGGCGACCCATTTCTCGGATCTCAATTTCAAAAATACCAGTTACAAATCATTTGATAGGTCACCTTCAGTGGTGGTTAGTCCCAGCCAATATTTTCAAGGGCAGATCTTTTCTACCATGGAAAACGGACAAGGTTCTCCAAACAGATGCTTCGATGATAGGCTGGGGGGCTTGCATGGAAAATCATTTAGTGCAGGGACAGTGGTCTCAAAGCCAAAAGAATCTGCACATAAATTGCCTGGAGATGGAGGCAGTTTTTCTTGCTTTGAAAAAATTCAGCCATCTGTTAAGAGGTCAAAATGTCATGATACGGTCAGACAATACAACCGTAGTACAATATATAAACAAACAAGGGGGAACAAAATCGCCTTACCTTTGTCTCCAAACTTGGAGTTTATGGAAATTTGCTCTACAAAATCAAATGAATTTGAAAGTAGCCCATATCGCAGGCAAATTAAATGTAGTACCCGACAGTCTAAGTCGAATGAAAATTCAGCCAACGGAATGGAGTCTGAATCAGTCAGTTGTTCAAACAATATTTCAAATTTGGGGTGTTCCGAGCATAGACCTTTTTGCATCAGCCCTCAATCGGAAAACTCAGATATTCTGTGCCTGGATCCCACACCAAGAAGCATATGCAATAGATGCTCTCTCAGTTTCATGGGAGAACATGTATGCTTATGCTTTTCCCCCAATTTGTCTCATTCCCAGAGTTCTTCATCATATGAAACAGTTTCATTGCAAACTGATTCTAATAACTCCATTCTGGCCACGACGCCTATGGTTTCCAGAGTTATTGAATCTGTCGGTAGCTCAACCGTTTCGTCTTCCATTGGTTACAAATCTGTTACAACAACCAAAATCTCAGATATGCCATCCAAATCCAGGTGTTTTGAACCTGACTGCATGGTTGCTATCGACAGACAGTTTAGAGAAAAAGTTTGTTTTTTTCAAAATCAGTTAGGAAACTTCTTACAGCCAGCTGGAGAACTGGTACTCAGAAAGATTACTCCAGTAAATTTAGACAATTTATGATATGGTGTCGTGAAAAGAATATTTATTGATTCCTTACAGCATCCTGTAATAATTGTGCTGAGTTTTTTTAAAGGTTTACAGTATCGTACAATAGCAGGTTACCGCTCTATGTTATCTGCACTTTTACCTCCAGTAGATAACACTCCTATTGGTCAACATCCGTATGTTATCAGATTATTAAATGTATTCATTTTAAGACCTCCTCTAACAAAGTTGTTGCGTGAATTGGATTTGCCTAAAGTTCTCAGTGTGCAACAAAAATATTCTTTTGAACCTTTGAGAAAAACATCAATTAAATTTTTAACATATAAAGTTGTTTTTCTTATAGCTATCACGA